TGGAGCTGGTAGAAGTGAAGTAGGTAGTGGCGGATGCTGAGGTGGGGTTGGACGGTCCGAGTGGGGTGTTGAGAGAAGATGGAAGAAGGTAAAGAGGCAGAGCAGACAAAAAGAAGCTATTTAAGAGAGTTGAAACAAGAGATCGTAAAAGATCAGATAGAGCTATTTTCTGCCCTCTTAACCCTTGTAGCCTTAGTTCTCTTTGACGATGTTGATGTTGTATCTGTAAGAAGAGTATGGATGCTTCACGTCTGAGAGGAGGTGGCATCCATGTAAAGAATGGCGGGGTAGCTCATAAGGACCAATTATACCGCAGGTTTCAGCTATTTAGTGGAGACCTGATGCTAAAGTTAGAGCTCATACCGGTCACACTCAAAGCTGAAACACGTCTCAGATATTGGCTTGTGATACTGATACATGAAGCATTTAAGACCTGGCTATGGGACTTTGTTGGTGAGGCAATGACTTTTATGCCTTTGATAGGCATGATAACCATAGATGCCTAGATAAACATCTGCCTAGCATAACCAATTGATGAATTGGGAACGGAGTAACCCTCAGCTCAAGTCTTAGAAACAGTTTCACAATGCAATCCGTTACGGTACACGAAAGTGGATTGCTTATAAGATCTGGGGCTATTTTGAGTATTGTATGCAGAGTTTCAAACCATGAGCACATATCAAGCGTCGGTCGATCGTCAAGAGTCTTATTGAATTGGGTATCTATATGCTATATGTTTCATCAAAATCAACCCTCAACCAACAACTGCTGAATCTCTCTCCTTCATCTAACCATAAAAGTTAAGGGGTATATATTCTTCGCTACCTTACAAGAGATAAATCTCTCAAACCAGCCTGTACTCACGTAATCGGCAGTCCGATTGACAACCCTTAGTTCTCTCGACGCTGGTTCTCCTCATCATTCGACGTGAACATGGCAGGGTCGCTGGAGCTTCCGCTTCGGTGCTCAACGTGACTTTTCTCTTCGACTTCTTCCACAGCAATGAGTAAGTTGCCGTTGTTGTCGTATCGTCGGGGCTCGATCTTTGCCTGCTTGACGACACCGAGATATCCGCCCAGCCCATGGGAAACCTTCTGGAAGATAGTATCCATCTCCTCAAGAGAGCGGTATGCCGTCTCGGGGAAGAAGAAGTAGACCGAAGGCACCATGATGGCGTTGATTACAGCAAAGATAATGTATGTGTTGGCTCCAATGTTCTCGAAGGCAGGCGGAGTAATCATGACAACCAGCCAGTTGAAGATCCAGTTACTAGATGTGGCAAGGGCATTGGCAGGAGCACGGATTCGCAGAGGCGTAATCTCGGCAGGGTATAGCCAGGTCATGCCAAGCCAGCCAACGGCGAAGAAAGAGTTGAAGACGAAGAGGAACACAATTCCTACGATCTGGCACGCCTTCGCATCGCTCGAACCAACACCAGCCAGAATAGCCATGGACGCACACTGACCAGCTGCGCCGAAGAGCATGAGCTTTCGACGACCAATACGCTCAACCAGCCAGATAGCGGGAAGTGAGGCCAAGAAGTATTCGGTACCGTTCAGAGCGGCCATGAGCAGCGGCATGTGGCCCTCCATACCGAGTCCGCGATAAATCGTAGCAGCGTAGTAGGTGATTAGGTTGATACCAGAGATCTGTCATTACTATTAGTATCTGCTGCGCCTAAAGAATGTGACCTAACTTACCTGCTGGAACATCTGGTTGACGTAAGCGATGAGAGTGCGGTGGAGGTTCTTATTGTCGTTTCGAGCGAACAAATCTGAGAATGACCCCTTGCTCATTTCCATGGCAGTCTCCTTGATGGCCTTGAACTCGTTATCGACGTACTTGCTCTGGATGTCCTGGTTGGCGATGGCAGCAATGACTTCCTTTGCATCCTCATCACGCCCCTTGAGCACAAGCCAGCGAGGAGACTCTGGTAGGTTCAAAACGAATGCCATAATGAACAGACAGAAGACAATTTGGAATGCCATCGGGAAGCGCCAACAGGCAGAGGTGTCTTGTGCAAAGTACATGCCATAGTCAACCCAGTACGAGATGGTGATACCGGCTGTGATGAGCGCACCTTCAATCATAACCAGTTTACCGCGCTTATGAGCAGAGCACGTTTCCGATTGCCACATGGGAACGGTAGAAGTGTTGCCGCCGTTACCAAGACCAGTAATGATTCGTCCGATGATGAAGTGTTCGAGAGAGTAGGCCGAAGCCTGAAGTGCAGCGCCAAGAACCATGATGCTGGTACCGAGCATGATCATCCTTCTACGGCCGAGCTTGTTTCCCAAGAAGATTGTGATGATGGCACCGAAGAAGCAGCCCAGGTTGTAAGACGAAACGGCGATACCTTGATAGTTGGAACGGTTCTTTCGAACAGCCGCAGATACGCTCATGTCCTCACTGTCCATATCAGGAAACTGAGCCATGAAAGGCGCCATTGTCAGGATACCGCCCATGACACCTTGGTCTGTAGTAGCAAGTTGTTAGTCATTGATCGAGATAACATGCAAATCGAAGAGTTGCATGTGGAGAGGTGATATGAATTACCGTAACCAAAGAGGAGGAAGTCTGTTCCAGCAATTGTACTGATGGCATAGTTGAGGGCCTGGCCTCGAAGACCAAAGTACTTCTTGAACATGGTGAAGGCAAGTAAGTATATGCAAAGATGTTAACCCAAACTCTAAGCCAAAGGATGAACAGATGGAAACTGATGTTGAGAGTATTCAAACGGTGGGCGGGGACTTGGGTTTATAAAGAAAACAGAGCCCAAGGGTCTTGCATGTCGTACTGCAGAGCCAAGTTAAGTAGTACTTAGTACTAGATCCACGACCTCTAATGATATCCACACCCAGGTGCCGAAGCTGGCGTCTCAGACGGATATCCATGGTTGTCTTGGTCCTGGTCTTGGCCTCGGCCGTCTGTGATGGATCCGTCGGCCTGTTGACTGTACTGTGCATACAGTAAGGTATGTATGTACTTAGATTTGCAGTCGTGTGCATCCATGGCATGACCCCTGTATCGAGGGCATGGTAAAGTTCAGCACTGCGGTAAGGGCTCAACCGCAAGATTACTGAAGCATCCATTAGAGACAGACACGGGTTTCCTACCTAGGCTTGGTTCAGTTTGTGAGACGTATTTCTCTATTCTCCAAGAATAGACATGTTACCCTCCGCACTTTCAGCGGGCAACGTGGAGGTCGATTGCCCGCACAAGCTCGTGGAGAAGCCCCTAAAATTTACTTCTCGTCTCCGCAGAATTTGGGCGTTGGGGAAGTGAACATGGGGGAGCGAGAGAAGGCTGGAGCGTGGGGAATACGACGTCATCCATGGCACGTCTTTCAATTGAGGGTCCTTTGGGGCATGAAAACCGGGGCAATTTCAAGGTGTTAGAGAGGCGTCTCTGTCGTTTGGTTGGTCAACCTTCATCTGAATTTCTGGGGGTGAATTTCATTCCTTCGAATTCAACATCGAGGCCGTATTTTGGTATCTCTCTTTGACCGCCTGAAGGATTGGTTCCGTCGATTGAAGTCCTATCGTGATTGGACACTGGAGATTCTCAGTCGATGAACCATCGAAACTAATTATGGTCGGTACCGGTGTCAAAAGAAGGATGAGCTAATAAAGCTGCCAAGACCCTTAATCAAGTTGGGGTGAGAGACTTCAAGGCCCCGCCTTGTATCTTGTATCGGGTGAAGCCAGAAGTTCGGTTCTTGAATCAAGAGAGGCAAGCCGATGGCAAAGAGGTTGTACCTTCTCTTCACCTTCACCTGCACGTGATCCTTGAATTGAATACTGGCAGCCCACGAAAACCATTCCTCCTTCCGTTATCCGGGATCTCTTGGTAGGTCGAATACTAGTAGCGCCTAGCAATGAGGCTCTGATTCTCTCAGCCTGGCTCTTGGCTGAATTACAACGACTTTCAGTGTTCTTGAGAACAACTAAAAACTAAAAGCCCGAGATTTGTACCATAGTATATAATCGACTTGACTCGAGCCCAAATGCAATACTTTGCATCAATATCACCACATTGCATACCCAACGATGACAAACCGGCCTATCCATGCTACTTGCACAGTACAACACAGTACAATGTCTTGCCTGGCCGTCAAGAACGGACCCGACAGTCAAAAACGTCCCATTGCCGCGCTTCGATCCCTTGTCATAGTTGACGCCAAGAGCCTACTTGTAGTTCCCCCTGCTCCGTCAAGAATCCACTACATCCCGAGGCCGCCCAATTAACAACCGCTGAGACTGTACGGAAGAAGACCTCGCTGACCGTAAAATTGTTTCTGCAAAAGACCCCCTCCACCGTCTGTAATGGGTCCTCGTCCGTGTCCCCGTTTTCTAATCCTTTTGTGGATGACAACACATGAAGATTGGGTTTCTCTTTACGGCTCGCTCAGTCTTGACCCCGGAAATGCCCCGTACCGTGATCTGTTGACGTCATGTAGCCTTATGCGGGCCGAATAAAGACAAAAGCATCGTGATGGCTGCTGAGTTGAGATCTGTATCGTGACAGGCAGACATATACATCTGTTCGGGTTACCTACGCAGGCTAACAGTCGCCCAGAGTCTACAGGGGCACGGCCATGAAATTCCCGAACTGAACTGGCTGACCAGATTCATCTTGACGCCACGCCGTCTTCCATCACTCGATTGAATTGCCGTGGACCGGGAATCTCGCGGACTTAACTAGAGATGACATACAGTAGCGGTCTTACAGAAGCAGCCACCAGAAAATTGTGGTTGTTTGAGTTGAGAGGCAACCCAAACTCTTTATCTTATTGCCGAGGCTCGAGACATCGATCGACATTTACAAGATGTTGCTTGGCTCCCTTCATTGGTCGAGTGATCGGACAATTTCTACGGCTCTACTAGTCCGCTTTGGGCAATTCAGTTGACTTCAAGTCAAGCAAGTTCCGAGGTGCTCAATGCAATGCTAAATGTTTAACAGATCCACTGACCCAAAGAATAACGCTCCAAGAGCCAATGTACCAGGCCCGGGATTCTAGCCTGGATAACGAGTCCCCGAAGGACATAGGAAGTCAAATAATCCCGCGGTCTCAATCCGTCGTGTTGCCAATTACACCAGCCCGGCTATGTTGCGATATGCTTGTTACAGTAGCGGCCAGGTAAGACTTTGCGAGCAGCCAACTAATGTTAGACTCTGGGATGAGAGAGTTACTCTACCTTGGAGGAGCGTACTCCCTCGTTTATGCTTCACACCTTCTTTTCTCTTGTTTGAAGCATGTTGCTACATCGTCGGAGGATATCACCATCTTACACCACGTTGGCACTAGTCCGTTTCTAGTAATTGCTTAATCCTACATCAACATCAACACAGAGCGTTTTACTCAGAGATCCCTACATATCGAACCACGATCCCTTCATGCGCGAGAAAGAGAAAAGTCAAGCGACCCTTGACATCAAATTAAACAGTCCAACGAAGTGGAAAAGAAGGAATCTTGCGATAACCCATGTCGTCCAGTCATCAACCTGCACATCATTGCCTCTTTGGTGTCCTGCCGTGGAATCGGGTCGCCTGACGTAGGGACCGTGCCGGCAGTTTTTTCTTGATGTTTTCGATATGAAAAATGGAGTCTTTGTGGAGAATCTGCGCTTGTCAAAAGGAACGTTTGAGAGATAATGGCGTTGGACTACGACAGAAAAATCCCGGAACACAAGTTGATCTTCCTTGTAGTGTCTTTGGTTAGAGGTATGGCTAGAATGACGAGTTAGTGATCTAGTAGCTGATAATTCTAGCTTCCAAGTGGTTCATAGAGATAGTCGATCTCGTAATTCACAAGAGTGATGGTATCTATATTCCGAGGCTTTTCTTTCGGCTGGCAGGGCTAGTTACGGCTCAGGGAAACCGAGATCTTGGATAATCCATGAACCCGGCTTGGGAACTGGATCATGCCAGGCAGCAGCAAAACGTCCAACATTTGGAGATGGTTCATGCCATTGTCCCCATACCCACAGCAGTAAGCCGTGTTGATGAACCATCTTGAACAGACAAGCCAAAGAAGCGAGAATTGGTCAGCAAACCGTTTACAACTAAACCCGGAAACCTTAAACCTGAGCTTCTAGAAGATCACGTATTGTACAGTATCAATTATGAGGCATTCTCGTCCAAATGCAATACACCACTATCTTCATCTTCATCTCCAATCTCAAAACCTTGCCTGGAATGGATCCTCTTCCCCGTGGCGCCGGGCACCTCCAGTAACCTAATTCCCGCGCCCGTAACTCCAGTTCTCGCTCGGGTTACCCTTTTAGGACAACCCGAACCTCTCTCGCGTGGTTCCCCATCTTGCCGCTCTTTTGACGATCCTCCACATTTGCATCGCCTTCCCTGTGGCGTCCGCTACATGCACGCGGGACGTGGAATTTATGACTCGCGGGACGTTTGATGGAGGGTAGTTTCAACATCGAATCTGACTTACACTAGTACCGGCAGCATCTTGAACGAACTTCCTTTACTGGTAAACCGTTTGCCTCTACCCCAGCATTCCCCAGACTGTGGCTTATACTAAACACATCGGCATGTCCGTTTATGTGTGTGGTCATTTCTTTGATTGATTGATCTTACCTACGTAATAAAGTGTATGTGTAGGTATCCATGTATCGCTTCATCATGAGACGTTATGCGACGCAGCCAAGTCAGATAACTCTGTACAGGGAGGTATTGTATTACAAGCAGTTCCCAAAATGTCCCCTTACACGCCACAAACAATGCATCCTTTCCCTTTAATCATACCTTAATGTCTTCCTCGTCGCTCTGCTTCAAAGAGCTCCCGCTTCATATCCATTAGCATGTCTTCTAGCTGGTACACCTCTTCGCGGGATAGTGCTGATGTTCGTAGTTGCTCAAGTCCACCACGTAGAATATCCGCGATTGAGTTCGTCTTGGCCTCCACTGGTGTACCTTTTTCTTCCTCGTCGGGTTCAGCTGCTTCCTCTTGAATCACCTCCTCTTCCTCTTCCTCTTCCTGGGGCGCCTCAGTGTCCGCCGATACCTCCATTGAGTCTTCAATGACTGCATCGGGCATTTCAACTTCTGGTTCCTGGCTCTGCGAGGCTGCGTTGGACTCTTCCACCAGCTGTGACATGAGCTCTTCGTCTGTATCCCCACCATCGCGTACCATGGTCGGTTTTGACTTCGTTTGAGGTGCTTGAGGCGCAGATGATCGTTTGGGTCCCTTGCTTGGTGACGCCTGAAGCTCCTGGTTTCGTAGGTCTCTGCCCTTCTGTCCTGCGTTCCGTCTAGACGAGCGTCGTACAGTTGGAACGGGCGAGCCAGTTTCTTGAGACGTTGACTGGCTGTCTTCACCTTGTTCTGGTCCTGATAGGTCGGTCGTTCGTCTCTTTTTACGGCGTGTCTCGGCGTACTTTGCACTTCGCTTTCTTTTCCTCTTACTTCCGGTAAGGTTCGTACTCTGACTTTCAGAGTTCTCTGAGCCTGCATCGAGAGGCGTAGAAGGAACGACCCCTGATAATGAGGGTCGCCTCGTGGATTGCTCTTCCTCCTCGGACGACGTGTCTCCCTGAACTTCGATGCACTTCTCAGGGGATTGGTTGTTCTTCTTCTTCTCGGGAGAAGCAGAAGCTGAGTTGATCTTATCAAACGGAAGATTGCACCGCCTCGATTCGAGCTCAACCACGAATCTCATAAGACTGCTCTCGTCACCTTCACTAAGTGCAAAAGAGGAGTCATGGTTCTGACTTGAAGTCAAACCGCGAGCGGATTCAAGAGCCTCGACGTTCGCAACATCGCCGGGACTGCTTCTGGCATCCACAAACTCGTCATCTCCAGATTTTGGTGTTTCTTGAACCCTGCCAGGAGGCGACGCGGCTTGTTGGGGAGTATCATCTGATTGTTTGTCGGTCGGCAATTCACTGACCTCTTCCTCCCCCTTTTCTTCCACATTTGGTAGATGAGGCGTATCTGATAGCACACTCACGTCCGCCACCTCCTCTTGGCTGGCAAGACTTGAAGGAATGATATCCTCCTTTTCTGGGGAATCTATCCTCCTTCTGCGTCGCTTAGATCGCGTGTTCTTGCCTGGCACACTCTTCTTGGTGGGGGAAGTTTGCGCCTCAGCTTGGGGTCCAGCGGCTTGCTGGTTAACAGAAGGCGATCCTGGTGGCGACGAAAACTGCCAACTCTCGATTGAGTCTCTAGCCTTAGATCGAGTCTGTATCTCGGACAAGAGCGGGTTACGTCTCGGTTCTGGTGGGGATGAAGCCGGATCATTGATGCCCTCAAGATGCAAAGCCTGACCCCGTCGAGGAGTCGGTGTCAAAGTGATAAATTCCTCATACGAAGCTGGCCGCTCAGGGGTGGTTTCAAGGTTTCTGGGTTGTTGAACATCAGTATCCTTGGTTTTCTCCTCAAGAGCAGCTTGAGATCGAGTCCTTGGACTGGATCGAATACCAGGATAGAGACCAGCATTCTCCTGTTGTCGTTGGCGAACCTCCATCTGCCGCTCTGTGAGATGTTGGGATTCCTCCGTGAATAGTGATGGAGGAGCAATAGGGGCAAATTGGATTTGAGAGTTGTCGTGACGGAGGCGGGGAGTGGTGGTGCGTTTAGCAGATTTCGTCTTCGCCACCTCAGGAGTGGTATCTATGCGACGCTTTCGTGCTATTGGACCTCTAAGATTCATCTTTAGGGATGGTGCCGGCGACACTGCTTGCTCAACACCATGCCCAACACCTTGCCCGGATGATTTGGCAGATGAGAGCGCAACGAAGCTTAGATCTTCTTGTGATTCGACAAAAGACTGTGCTTGGGCTCCAAACTCGCCGCTTGACTCTTCCATGCCGGGGAACGAGACATCAACCATCGGCCGTAAAGAAGCAATGATTGACTTGAGGCTTTCAGAACAGTCCAAGTTCTCTTCATCTTTAACCAACGCATTCCACGTTTCCGCCATTTTATTTACGTTGTAGCGATGTTTACTTTTGAAGCCAGCGGAAACGAGGGGTTCGATAGTGTTAAGATCGTTTACCTCCAGTCGACCAAGTGTCAATAGCTGCTCACAAATGTTGTCCCAGAGACCCCGGACCTGGAAATAGTTAGTACTCAGTCAATCATTTTGAATCATTTAACTTACTGGCTTGGAAACAGGACAATCGTTGCACAACTTTTTGTGCGCCTTTTCATCCTGTATCCAGGGAACGAGCCCATCTTGTAATTTCGATAACGCTTTGACACCATTCTGTGAGAAGGACCCAACAATGAAGGAACCAATAGTCTCAAAATAAGCCGCCATTTTTTCGTCATCACATTCAGCTTCGTGTTCGTAGAAGAACTTCATACTTTGACCTTGAAGCTGATACAGATACTGGAACGGGTCAAATGAGGATGACCGGGAGGCAGTAGGTGGCGCGCCCCACAAACGTCGCCGGGCAGCCTCAACGGCCTGACGATCACGAGGAAGCTTTGCAACCTTGAATAGCGCGATTGTCACTGCCAGAGCCGTCTGGTTCGATTTGTCAGAACTCTCAAAGAAATTGTCGGTAACAATCTTGGCCATAGGTTCCACAAGGCCAAGCGCTCGACCGGCATCTCCGCATTCCTGTACAATATGATCCGACAGAAGGTTGAAAAGAGAAAACCATTGTTGCTCTGGAAGGCTAGGGTGGGAGACGAGACCTCGTTCCAGGAGGGACACAATCTCTCGATATTCGGGCCCAAGTAGTCTCTCACTGCTAGGTGGATGAGAGCCAGATGAGACAGGGTTCTGGTCCAGCAGTGTACGAATATTCTGTGCAGCAAGGATCCAAGGACCGTATGGCGACAGAGTATCCCGGGGTAGAAGTCGGATCATCTCTCGTGATAGCTCAACCCGAGCTCTTGTAGGCTTATCATGGAAGAATGGTTCAAAGACGGATAAGAAGCACTCAGCGAGGTCCTCGTTATCAGCCATGCCAGGAGGGATAGAGCAGAGCATGGAAAAAAGGTGGTAGAGTGGCGTTTGAACAGCACCATTTGATTTGTCGATTCGGTCAAGGCGGCTGGAAGGTGTTGAGGCAGGCTCGAAGGTATTAGCCAGAGACATGGACAATCTCTTCTCAGTGAAAGAGAGCAAG